TCCTTATTTCCACAATACTAGTCTTTTACAGATGTAAGGGGTAAAGTGTGCGTGAGATAGCAGAAGTGGACATATTCTGACTTGGAATCAGGTCAACTAAGGAAAAAGAACAAACTAGAATGTGATAAACAGGCCAGAGGCAAAAAGAAAGAAAAAGAAACTCCCCACCGCCACCCCGCTCTCTTGATGTTTGTACAGCCTTTAAAAACAAGAACTTGATTTTCGGTTTACTGATTGCCTGTATTTCTCAGGAAGGATCTGACTATAGGAACTGTGTCTTTTTGTGTCCTTTTAATTAATCCTCTTCCCTGGATGAATTAGTTCTCCTTTTGAAGTTCAATATGACTGAACTAGATCTGAGCTATTTCCCACCCATGCAGGTTATTCTATAGTTAGCACTTGGCAATTGTATAAACACTAGCTTCCATGCAGAGTAAGAATTATTTTTACTTACTAATAATGCTTATTGAGATGTAAGTAGTAAGTAGTTTTTGTGGATAATATGACCCATTAATTCAGAAAGTATGTTCATATCAGTGCATTTAATTGTGAATTCAAAGTGTTCACATGGAACTGCACCAAATAAAATTAATAAAGAAACCAGTACTAGAATAGGTTAGTTTAGTATTACCGGTAGTGATAGTGTTCCCTCCAAATTTTCATTTTCCCTGGATGATCAATACAGCTTTTGTTGTTTTTTTAACAAAATACTTTGATTTGTACAGAAGATCTAGAATATAAACATACTGTGGTCAGATTATATACAATGAGTTGGTCATACAAATAGATCCTTGACATTTCCTGTCTAAACCAGACAATGTTACATGATTGTATTATCATAAATATGATCACCAAATATTTGCAGTCCAATATGCATTTACATTTTTTTATCATGTCTTCTCTTTCTCACCGGCTGTCATGTTATTCTTTTTAAAAAAATGAAACTAGTACAAAGCTAGTACAAGAATTAGAGACTTTTACCTGTTTTACAGGCCTAAGAAAACAAGTATTTTTTTATCCTGGTCAAAATACAGTTATTCAATGAAGAAAAGGAATATAACAAAACAGGAGTACATTTCCTGTCATCTGGCCAAACTCTGAATTTTGAAATGAATGTTATATGAACTCAAACAATTAGAATTATTTCTCAAATTAAATTGTCCTTGATTAAACAGAAATAATTCATGAAGTTTTTAGAGCTTCTAGGGTCCAATTACTAAATCGTTCATTGAGATTGTAAATAGGTGTGGCAGATTGAAGAATCTTTTCTCACCATCTTCCATTATGAGGTAGCATTGAAAATATTGCATTGAAGAATGTATTAATATTGAAACTGCTTTGGTAAAATATTTTGAGTAAGAACAAGATATTTTTAAAAAGGTGTATGTGTGCACAAGTTTGTTTACCAGAGTGGAAAAAAGATATTGCAACTCAGCATTCTACCATCCAAGAACACACATTTATTTATTTATTTAAATTTTTATAGGCTCCCATCTCAATCAATGATTCTGAGTGGCTTGTAATTCAAACATATATACTAGAATTAAAACAATAAAAACATTTTAAAACAGTAAAAAGACTATAAAAACCATCCAAAATATACTATAAAATTAGCTCGAAGGGATCCACTTGTACTGCAGAAACTATACAACACGGTTCTGATAGATCTTTTCTGATTCTCAAGGCACAGAAACCATGCACACATGTATTACTGTAACTTCTGTGCAAAGTAGGAAATTATGACATCCAGCGGCTATTCTTTTTAACTACAGAGACAGACATGCTTGTAATCCAAGCAACATTTCAAAACTTTTTAAAAATATAGTAGTTTCAACACTTTTTAAAAATATAGTTGTTAAATGTATGAAGGAAATCAGAATAGCTATCTGTCCCCATCATTTGCTCTGATGAAAGTTTTGTAAAGTTTTGCTTTCATGGGTCGGCTCCTGTATCAAAACAAAAGGATAGGAAGGATCTCCTACAAACGGTAGTAAACAAACGTAACAGTAAACATTTGGCACATGCTCAGAGATTCTTTCTTAAATTGCTGCTTCAAATCTTTCATACAAACGCTGGTAAAAACACTTGGCTAGTCTGAGAAATGAAGACCTGGCTCGCACAAGAATGATTTGGAATTAGCTAATAGATAAACACATTCAATAGTAAGAATGAAGAGACAGTAATTCTCTTTGAGGGATTGCTTTAAAGCAGCCATCCAACTTAATCTAGAGATAATACTAAGAGTTTTTAACTTCCCACAAGGGAAGTTATCTGGAACACTAAGCAAAATTTCACCTATTTAATTTCTGCCTAGGAGACTATCCCGAAATTCCTTTCCCGTAAACTAGAAAGTCATTTTTAAAAATCCCAGAGGGTGGCAAAGCTAGAGCATTTCGTAGCGCTGCCGAGAAAATTACTACAGTAGATGCTATAGGCGGGTCTCCTGCTTCAGCAGGGGGTTGGACTAGATGACCTACAAGGTCCCTTTCAACTCTGTTATTTTATTCGTCTTCTCCTTCAACGTCACATGAGAATTCCTCTCCAAAAACTCCAACCCCCAAGATGCACTTCGACTGTCTTTTTTTTTTTTATTGACGTTTTAAAATTAAAAAGGAAACCGGCCCTTCCATTCGTTTAAAAAGAAGGCGGGGACAACCGTTGACTGGGCTTCTTAGGCTCTAAAGCCCGCCCCTTCCCACCTCGCGAAAATTATGATCGTAACCATCGAAGGATGGCTAGAGAGGAACATTGGCCGCAAGGCGACCTGCGGATGGTAAAGCCGGAAGCGGAAGTGACATCGCCTGGCCGCCTTTTTTTCCCTTCAGGTTCCATTTTCTGAGGACCGTTGGCGCGCACCGGGGCCTGTTCCGAGGTGGCGTCCTAACCTCCCTCGCGCATCATGACGGACCGTTACACGATTCACAGCCAGTTGGAGCATCTGCAGTCCAAGTACATCGGGACTGGCCACGCCGACACCACCAAGTGGGAGTGGCTCGTCAACCAGCACCGGGACTCCTATTGCTCCTACATGGGCCATTTCGACCTGCTCAACTACTTCGCCATCGCCGAGGACGAAAGCAAAGCCCGCGTCCGCTTCAACCTCATGGAGAAGATGCTGCAGCCCTGCGGGCCGCCCGCCGACAAGCCCGACGAGTCTTAAGCTTTGCAGCCGTGCAGCCCACCCCGAACGAGGAAGGAAGGAAAGAAGGATGGATGAGGGAGCTCAGCCTTGCCGACCCTGCGGAATCCTTGCCCTCCCTTCCCCACGGGGAACCATTGGATTCTGCACCTCCTCTTTCCCCCCGCCCGTGACTGCTTGTGGACTTGCGCGGTTAAATTGATCCCGACGAGTTTCGTACACCCTTACATGGCGGGGAGGGCATTTTCTGAACTTTTGCCCTCTGTAGCCTGTGGGGACTTGGGACGGAGACGGAGCAGAGCGGGGCCCGATGGTTTCACGCAGACGGGGCACAGGGGTGGCTTGCTTTGAAGACTTGCAAAGGCATCTTTTTTTTTCCCAATCATTCCCCATTTTGGAGTGTTTGGGAGGCATTTTCACAATTCGGTTTAATAAAAGATTATGCTTTTTTTAAAAAAAAAACATGTGTGGGTAATCAATTGAAATAGCAAGCTAACCAGCTCCTAGGAGACAGATGGGGTTGTATTAATGCATCTCCAAAATCATCTCGATTTGTACCTCATGGCTATGCAGCCCTTGAGTGATCTCTGGTAAAAATAAATAATAATGTGTAATTGGCCATTTGTAAGATGGCTTCTGTACAAAGATCCCTACGGGTGGCCATCCTACTTTAAATTAGTTTTAATGATAAAACCAAATGTTTATATTTGTTAACCAGTGTAATGATCAGTAGACTAATGTAAAACTGTTCTGCGTAACGTATTTTATGATACCTAACTTGGTGGTGCTGCCCAGATAAAACCAGTACAAAATTTCAGAGGGCTCCTGGTCAATGAGAAAGTAGGTAGCTGTGGTCAGGAGGGCTTTTGAACAGATCTATTTGGTGGGCGAATTATGTCCTTTCCTGTTGAGCATGCCATTCACACAGTCATTCATCTCTTAGTCACTTTTCATTTGCACTATTTGTAATATTCTTTACAAGAGCCAGTTTAGTTGTTAAAGCAACATGCTACTGCAGAAACTAGGGGACTGAGAGTTCTAGTCTTAAGCTTAAACGGTAGCAGGGTGACTTTGGGCCAGTCAATCCCAGACCTTGGAAGAAAACAATGGCAAATCACTTTGGAAAAATGTTGCAAAAGAAATTGCAGGAACCAGTCTCAGCAGTCACCAGAAATTAAGACTGATTCAAAGGCAGCATACCAAAATGCTCTATGTAGGTCTACTCTTGAAGGTTGCTCCAAAGCCAGCAGCCAAAATGCTGAGTGGATGCACAAAACTGCTGCTCTGTTAAAGGCACTGACTTGCCAAAGGGCTTCTGGTTGCAATTCATGGATGTTAGCTCTTTATGTTAGTTACTTGTAAAGTTCTTTAACAGCTCAGTTCCTAGCTAGCTACAGGGATGTTTTTCTCCTATGGTTATTGCATAAGTAAGATGTGAAAGAATTGGAAACACTTGTTTCCGGCTATAAAACACAGACATTGTGATATCTAGAAGACATTTCTTGGTAACTGTCCTGTCCTGTGGAACAACATGTCCACTGAGTTATTTGTGGCCCAACACTTAGAGACTTCCATAAAAACCTGGCTCTTGTCATACCTGCAGGAGAATAGACTGGTCTGTAATATGACTAAAATATATTTGTGGTATGCTTCCCAGTAAATCCTATGTATAGTATTTGGTTATACTGTTTCATTTTCAGTTGTTATTTCTGGACATTTTAGTCCTATTGTGTAAAGTCTCTAGAGTCACTTTGATTAAGGCAGCATAGGAGTTGACCAAAGGAAAAAAAAATAGAAAACATAGGCCATAAAGCTGGAAACATTCTTACTTACATAAGATTATCACCTGTAAAAACTGGAATATGGCCATGCTAGTTTTATTATCACACTTCAATCCATCATACAAGTTTTAAGAGATGGGAGGCTGAATGTATGTAAACTGGTTTGCTGAGCTCTTCTAATTCAGGTGCTGTAAAAAGTAAAGGCTGCTATTCAGAAGTTTGGTGGGCATGTTCTCCTCATCTTCTTCCCTGAGTTGGAGCCCTAAGAGCAGGCAAGCATTAATTTAGGTAGTCTGAAATAAAGCAGATGATAACACAACAGCTTGATGCACTGGCCAATTTGAGAAACTGCAGTATGATTTCACGGATCCTTAGTATGGTTTCACAGTTTGTTACTGGACATATTTGTTCTAGTATTAACATTGCATCTTTGGAAGATAGAAGAACAAGTAGCACAGGAGAAAAGAGAATATAAACAAAAATTAGGCTGAGGGAAATAAATTAGTTAAGTATGTACAGGATGAAGAGTGGAAAAAAATGGGAAATAATATGCTATTGATAGTTCCAGTTTGATATAGTGGTGAAAATGCTGGCCTACAAACCAGGAGACTGTCCTAATCCTGCCTTGAGCATGAAAACTGGCTGAGAGAACAAGCCAGTCGTTCTCAGCCCAACACTCCTCACAGGGTTATTATTGTGTGGAAGAAGTATTAGGCATATTTGCCACCTTGGGTTATTTATATTTTTTTTAAAAAGGTTGAGTATAAATAAACTGACCAGGGAGGCTTAAAAATTCACACGAAGTATCAAAATTTTGGAACAATTTTACAATATTTTATAACAAGCCTTTGATAAAGAAAACTCAGTACGGTAGTTACAGTATGTTTAATGAAACTGGTCTGTGGCTTGGTATTTCGAGTAAAATGTATATAAGAACAAGTCATGCAAATGGTATGTTTATGTAAACAAAAACATGAAAATGAAGTAAAAATTTAAGAAATAACTAGTATGTCATAGATATGAAGCATATAGTAAATGCTACAGTTTTCCATTTCATAGCTTATTTCTATGCAACAAAATTATTGCTATTTATGAGTGAAATAACAGCCTAGTCTTTTCTGGAAGGGTAAATAACCTGAAGAGTTGAATTTCATGATTCCTGGGTGATTTAAAGCTATGTTTCCCATTTATAATCCTGGTATTTTATCTATTAACGTAACTGTCTCCGATAAGCAAAATATACTGTCCGCAATGTATGACACAATTGTACCAGAATTTTCATTCCTAAACAAGGCAATTGTTAAGTGAGTCAAGGCCTTTTATGACCTTTTTTTGCCATGTTTGTTAAATGAATCACAACAGTTGTTAAGTGAATCATGCAGTGGTTAAGCGAATCTGAGTTCCTCCATTGATTTTGCTGGAAAAGTCACAAGTGACCCAAGGATGCTGCAGCTATCATAAATACATATTGGTTGCCAAGTGCCTGAATTTCGATTACATGACTGGAGATACTATGATGGTTGTAAGTGTAAGGACCAGTTGTAAATCATTTTTTTCAGTGCCATGTAACTGAGTAGTCACTAAATTAATGGTTCTAAATCAAGGATTACCTGTACTCCACTTATCTAGGAAATGCCCTAATATGTTATGACCAGGGCAGAATCATACGGGCCCAAATCCTCTTAGATCAATATGCTGGATTAAATTATAGCCTGTTAATCTACACAACGTATCTTACCCAGTTTCTGTTCCAGAAGAAATGGGGGATATTTTTTTCTGTACTGCTCCAGCTGAAATTTCAATACCATGTCCTTTAAAACAACAATATATCTGTAAAGAGCTCTGAAAAATATATCCTGAGAATGATCAGCAAATTCAAGCAATTTAAAGCACTGTTGATTCAAATTACAGACCTGAAGTATTAATTCACCCATTTTACATTAAATGCTGTGGAATTTAACTGTAGCTCAGTAGTTGTTCATCCTAAATCCTCTTTTTGAACGTTACTCAAATAGAGGTATGATCTGTGCTGTTTGTATGATTTCACTTTAAAGTTAAGTCAGAGATCTTAAGCATCAATTTTAGCTCACCCAAATACTATATATATAAATAAATAAATATGCTAATATGAATGTCAGTATAACTGGGAAAGCAAACAATGAGAACAGTTACCTCTCCAATTTATATTACTGTACATGCTTTTGCTAGATTGTCCTAAAATTAATTATTCTTTCTTTTAAGCACCTTACGTGAATAAAAATTATACAATCAATCAGGGTGGATTTGATTTAAATCGAGTTGATTTAAATCACAATTCAAATCATGATTTAAATCACTAGTAAAAAGGCTTGATTTAAATCAACTTGATTTAAATCATAATTTTTAAAGAGCAACTGTCATCTCTGCTACTCCTTTGACCCACTGTTGACTCACCGATAGTCCCAGTGTTGCAGAATATACAGCCTCATGCTACATAACTAAGCTCCATTTCATGCTGAATAAACTAAATTATTTATGTATCTTAAATAAAAAACAATCTTACGAAAGATTTTTACCCCAAAAGTTTTTTATTAAAATAAATCCAATAAAAATAAAAAAAAATCCGATTTAAATTTTAAAAAATCTGATTTTTTTTATTTTTTTAACAAAATCATTGATTTTTATCCACCCTGCAATCAATCTTGTTTTTAAAATAATAGTATAGAACAGCAAAAAACCTGAAAACTATACATTAGACTAGATTATGTAGTTCCATTATATGTCAAATTAATATCACATAATTATAAATTACTACAGTTGGTGTATTATTAGCTAAACTTGATTTTATGTTATAAGATTTCTATAACTAGAGAAGATTTTTTAAAAAGGATTTTCGATAAATTCTGTATTGGACATAAAATTCTACATATACAGCAGAAGGTTTCAATCTTGGCAACTTTAAATCATGTGGACTTCAACTCCCAGAATTCCACAGGTTAACGTCCACAGGTCTTAAAATTGCCAAGATTGGACACTTCTGATATATAGTATCTGCGAAGATGGCATTACTGGTAAAATATACCAGTAGGTGTTGTAGTTCTGATGGGATGGCTTTAAGCATTCAGTATTTCTAAACATTATTTCAGATACGTTGTCTCCTACCTGTTACAGATGGGCCAGTATTTGCCCCTTGTAATCTATTCTGAAGTAGTGTCCCCACAGCATTTGTTAAAGTTGGTTCTTTTTTGGAGACTCCTTGTTTCCCCTAGAAAACAGAGCCTACATAACTAAACAGCATCACCACAGAGGCTCAGAGTGTAATATAATCATTTTTATATTTAAAAATATCTTCAAAGGAGCGAGAATAAAAGAAGATCAGACATTGATATTGATTGAGCAATTTTTAGATATTCCCAGTAAACTTCACTTGGAAGGGAAATTCCTATCTAAATAATTTTCCTAATTCATTACTGTCTACCGCATAACTCTGATTCTCAGTTAACTGACTTTGTCATAACAAAAATCGATTGAAAATTCTTTATAATTGTTGCGCAAATAGACTGCAAGTTTTTAAAACTTTTGAATCCCAACCCAACCAAAACCTAGAATATTTCAGGAGAAACTACTAGTTCTACTCCTTGTTTGCTAACTAGTAAACTAGAGTATTACAATCTAGTGCGATTTTCAGTTAATTATATGAATGATAAATAGGCTAAAGGTTATAAAGGACAATTCTGTGAGTCTTGATAAACACGGCAATATTTGCAGAAAACCATCAAACTCTTGCTTCCAAATAGAGCTTTAAAATCTCTTGTATTCTCAATTTTTTATTCCAGCTCTACTCATAACCATGCTACTGGACAGAATAGCAATAGCGTTAACTGCACTCTAAGGCAGTGGTCCCCAACCTTTTTATCGCCGCGGCCCGCTGAGCGCGCGCAGGGGTGGGGACACGGCCCAGGAGCTTTTGCGCACGGCCCAGGAGCCTTTGCGCTGCAGCGTTCATGTCCCCTGGCCGCTGCGCGGCCCGGTGCCAGGTACTCCACGGCCCGGCACCGGTCCGCGGACCGGGGGTTGGGGACCACTGCTCTAAGGAGTTAATGGAGTCACCATATTGCCCCAAACAATCTGGGTCCTCATTTTATGAACCTGGAAGAATGGAAGGCTGAGTCAACCTTAAGCTGGTCAGGATCAAACTCCTGGCAGTGGGTGGAGTCAGCCTGTAATATTGCGTTCCAACCACTGTGCCTCAATGGCTCATTAATAAACCACAGTTTATAGTATATTAATAAAAACATAATACTTGTTTGTTGCCAAGCAAAGCCAATTCTTTTCGCTTACAACCTTCAGAAAAGTTTAAAAGTCTCACTAGAAAGTGAGGTTTCAAATGACAGAACCCAAATTTCTTCTAAGATTTTCCTTATAATTTTTTTGTTTTGAGCTCAGCATGTAAACCACCTAATCCTCCTCTGGCCAGTGGAAGAACTGTTGTCTTCTCCCCAAAACATTCACTTTGAATACATTTGAGTATGGTTAGCTTTTTTTAAAAAAATTATGGCTTCTGAATATTTTATTCACATAATTGATCCACCATCTTTTTCTAAGTTTTGGAAAAGGTGACCATTAGGAATTCTAATTTAATATTCTACCCCAAAGAAAGCGTTTATGTAATAAATGAAAAACAATTCTAAAACAATTTAAGGAAAAGTGAAGAACCATTACTGGAAAAGAAAAAGTGAAGTAGTTTGCATCTGTTCCTTATTCCAAAGGATTACTTGTTATTTCCTAAACCTGAAGTGAAAAAGCCACAATAATGACAGGATTTTGGTCAAAATTATTCAGATTAACAGAGTCGGAATGGACCTTGTAGGACATCTAGTCCAACCCCCACCCCACCCCCAGGCAGAAGACCCTACACCAGTGATGGCTAACCATGCCAAAAGCAGGGGGAGTGTGGGGGGGGTCATGCACACGCATACCCACACCTATAATTCAATTCCTCCCCATGCCCTGCCCCCACGCATGCGCACGCGACCCCTTCGTGCGACTCCTGCTTTTGGCACACGACGGGAAAAAGGTTACTGGTGGGCCTGGTAGGCCCATTTTTTTGCCCTCCCCAGGCTCCAAAGGCTTTCTTGAAGCCTGGGGAGGGTGAAAACAACCTTCCCCACCTCCTAGAGGCCCTCTGGAGGCCAGAAACAGCCAGTTTCCCAACTTCCGGTGGGCCCGGAAGGCCCGAAAACCAGCTGGCTGGCTCACACATGCATCCTGGAGCTGAGCTAGGGCAACACTCGTGTGCCCACAGATATGGCTCTGTGTGCCACCTGTGGCACACGTGCCATAGTTTTGCCATCATGGCCCTACACCATTTTCTGTCAATGTCAATTGGAAGAATTCCGACATTTCTCTCCATTTCTTTCCCAGATTAGCCATCTTCCTCCATAAAAGGGAGGAACTGACAATCGCAGCCCAAGACTGATGATCCTTCAAAAAAGGATAAGAGAAAAATGGTAGAAGCAAACAGCTTGAATAGAGTCCAGTTACTTACTGAAGCTGGTTTGCCTCCCTTCTGGCCTGGGGCAAAGGATCGTCTGGCAGCTTGTTCTTTGCAAAAGTTGATGTGCCTTTCTCCAGCAGTCTGATTAAACCTTCTCATACAGTAAGGACACTGAATATAATCTGAATACAATAAAGCAGCATGACTATCTCAAATGATACTTGGAGGATGGGTGTATAAATGGCAACTTTATAGAAATGGAGCAAATGAATGAATGAATGATATTTCCATAGTTCTACTGTTAAGAGAATGCTATAGAAAGCTGTTGTACTTCAAGCCCTAGGCAAGAAGAGGGAAAAGTTAATAAATGTTTAGTAATTGTCAGAATTATACCAGCTTTTGACTCAGAAAGTTATCTACTTTCAGAGAAGAATGGATTGCATATACAAATATATTTGGTCATTTTAGTCATATTCTCTTTAGTATTTATAACCTTTTCTTCTTTTTTAAATTACTTTGCTGGAAAACAGTAACCAAATGGAAGAATATTTAGCGTAAAGAGCCACAGAGATGACCTTGGCGAAAAGGAGAAATGGTTACCAAAACAAAGACAAACATTAAATCCAAGAAACAGAAAGTATGACAAAGAAATTAAGACAGACTGAATTCTAATTCATTGGAGTGTGAGAGAGAAGGAAGGGCAAAGACACTCCAGCTTTCAAGATTTTAATTATTATAACTATATCAATAAAGCCAAAGCTTCCTGCCCTGCCTCAAAGGCTGACAGCTGGTTACCTAATATATTACAGAATGTTTTATTCAAAAACATTCCAAATTATTTTTTCAACTCTTTCAAGTTTTGAGATTAGATAGAAACGCTATTTGAAAATATGAGGGCCACTACTTATTCACTGAAAGAATCACCATCCGCAGCCATCCTATAGTAGGAAAAAATTAGGCTGAGAAACCTTTAGAGACTATTACTCTCTACAACCATGAGCCAGGGATCTGCTTTGGTTCTTCCAACCAACTTTTCTATTTTTAAGCCAAGGTGTAGTTGCAGTACAAGTAAATCACCTGGGTTAATGGATGGAGGTGGTGGTGGTGGAAGAGGACGGCCTTCTTTCATGGCACGAGTTGCAAGTTTAGCTGCTCTGATGGCCGAAATAAAATCTTCATGCTGTTGTCTCCAATTCGATTTTTTCTCCCGTCCATTCTGCAAAGGAATTAGATTTCCCTTTCGTCAATCGGAGCATATATTAATTACAGGTGTTGTTTTGAAAAACAATTTTAAGAGATTTTGTACAGATTATGAATAATAAAAGAATTCCATTGGCTATTATAAGTGGCAGCTTGAGTAGTGGTTAAGGTTTAAGCCATTTGGCTGGAAATGGGGATACTATGAGTTTTAGTCTTGCCTTAAGCACAAAACCACTGGGTGACCCTGGGGAAGTCACACCCTCTCAGCCCTAGGCAGCAGGCAATAGCAAACCACTTCTGAAAATGTCGCCTAGAAAACTGCAGGGACTAGTCCAAGCAGTCTCCAGGAGTCAATACTGGCTTGAAGGTACAAAATATGTATATTATTATTATTATCTGTTTAGGACAAACAGAATTTCCCAGGTTTGATCTGTTGTAGGAGATCCAATAGTCATTGGTTGGGAATGATGGTTTGGAAAAGGAAATTGCATGGAAAGTCCGAGAGAGTAGGACAAATGGAAGGGAAGGAGAGTAGTCCATTACATCACATCTTTTCTACAGGAACATAAATCAATGTACCTAATACTCCATTTTTTTCCCTTCCACCACAAGCCTGAGAGATATACTGGGCTGAGGCAGAATGACTGACCCAGAACCATTTATTTGCTGTGGCTGAAAATATGGATAAGGTAAGAAGCTAAATTCATTCATCCAGGTGGAATAACATGGTTGAATCCTGAGAGCAGCTACATGAATGAGGCAAAAATGGTGCACCCTTAAAGTTTACATTTCTAGGCCTGGAAATAGAAATGTCACCTCTTTGCTAATAAGGGATGAGCCCCCAGGGGTGGGTTGCCCCCGGTTTGGACAGGTTCGCAAGAACCGGTAGTAAAACTGGCTGGAGGCTCCACCCACTGACCCCGACAGGAAGCTTCTGCGCATGTGCAGAAGCGCACGCAGCCCCATTGCGAACTGGTAGTAAAGGTAAGTAGAACCCACCCATGATGAGCCCCTAATGCTATTCCTGTTAACAGCATTTATTTCAAATGAATATTGGCAGGGCAGCAGAAGACAAATAATGTTCACTCCATTTTATATCAGATAACAAAAGATTGGAATTCCAGGCATTAGCTAAATATTGGTGATCAAGTAATAAATGTTATGGGATCTTACAAACCTCTATATTAGGACAGCCCCAACCTACATAAAGAATCCAGACACCCCCTTCTTCAGCTCCAAATCATCCCAATGGCAAGACTTAAAACATATTGATGAAAACATGGGAATGGTGTTGACAGGTCTACCTTCACAGGTGGCTTCTTTTTCACTGTTGGGATGTCAGTTCCCTGTAGTCGTTGTTTCAAGGAATTGAATGGCTTGCGCTTCTTGTTGAAAATTTTTTTGCATATCGGATTGTGCCTTGCCTAAGGCAAAGAAAAAGTCATATGGTCACATTCCGAAACTAGCACAGTCCAGTGCTGGGTTGCCCCCTGGTAGTAAAACCGGTGGGAGGCTCCGCCCACTGACCCCGACATCATCAGAAGCAATCTGCGCATACGCAGAAGCTTCTGCGCATGCACAGAAGAGTGCATGCTCGGGCATGATGCGAACCGGTAGTAAAGGTAAGTAGAGCCCTCCCCTGGCGCAATCATATATTATTTTTGATTGTACTTCAAACTCTTTCTTCCCCTCCCCCAGGGGGGGAATTATGATCATTTCAACCTTTAGTGTATTACAGTACCTTGATGCTTAACTGGGAATAATTATGTGCTTGTATGTCACATAAAATTACAGGTTACTTCTATATACCCCAATTCATGGCATGTAATCACTGTTTTTGGTAGGCTAATTGACTAATCTGTTTTGAGTCCAGTTTAACAGTTAGGAAGGATTGTGTATCAGAGAAAAACTGAGCCGGTGGCTATTTTTAATCTGTATGTATCGGATTTATATCCCACTTTGTTTATCACTTAATTATAGGTGCCATGTGCAGTTAGTAATTCCAAATGTTCTGTTTAATTTTTTCTGAATTGTGATACAGATGCTGGGAAGATTTATAATACATGACTTAGAACCCTCCCTCAATTTAAGTATTTTGGGTTTTCCCTTCCCTAATATGTAGTTACCGATAGTTCTTGATTTACGACCAAAATTGGGACCAGAATTTCTGTGGCTAAGCAAGACAGTCATCAAGTGAATCATGCTGGATTTTATGAACTTTTTTTGCCATGATTGTTACGTGAATCACTACAGTTGTAAATCCTGATTCTGAATCAATAAACATGAATTTCCAGAGTTGAGATATATCAACACTCTCATTTAGTACAGAATTATACACTTTGATGAACAAGTCTGTGCTTTACAAAGGCTTTTGTTTTGCTTGCATAAATCAGTACAATTGTCATCAATCTTCCCGCTAAACATCTTCCCTTGTTTCTGAGATGTTCATTGAGTGAGTGTGTTCAAAACAGGTACAGTTTCTTTTTCTTTTATCACCTAAATACATTCAGTACAAAATGCTCTTATTTTACCAGTGCTTCCTGTGCAAAATGCCTTCCACAGGTGTCGCAAAGAAACAAATTTGGTGCGCCAGCCTCTGTGTGGAACAGGAAAAATTACTATTTATCTCTAAAGTATAAGCAGTTTTCAAACATCTCTGTAAATATAGTCTTAAGCATCCTTCCTAAGTCTAAAGGAAATAGATTAATATGTAGTATCCAGAACTTATTTTATCTGCTATGAAGGAGTAACTGAATAGTATACCCTACAGCTGAGTTAAAAGTAAGTTCCAGGGCTCAATAAAACTTAATTCTAAATCAGTACACACAGGATTGCCCATTCAGGCAGAATATAATGACTTAATATTGTTATGAATTGCATTGCAAGAACAGTCCATTTTATATTTCTTAGGTTATATATGTCTATAGCTTTAAAAGTGAAATATGTCTTGAACCTTCTGCCTCCACTGAATTTCTTAATGTAACTTTGAGGCAAAGGATGCAGAGTTTTAAGGAAAATCCTCAGAAGCTTAAGATAAAAACTGACAAAATAAATGGCATCATCTTGCAGGGGCTATTTCAGGAATTTTCTTTCAACGTACAGATTTCTTTGAACACAGATACCTTAAAAAATAAAATATTGCAGCAAGTCATTTACATATTTATTGCTTTTAGGATTCTAAAGAAACCTAACAAATGTTGCTTGAGATAGAATGTTAGGAATAGGAGTCTCTATGCTAAGTAGAGTAGATATTTCTTTAAATTACACTAAATAAATATTCTGAAACAGTCATTTAAAATATTTTTATCCCATATTTTAATTCAATACCCTCAAGGTACAACAGTTTACAAAAATAAATAGTTTGTAGGGCTATTTAAAAACTGTTTAGGAATCCACCTGAAATTATCAGAGAATGACAGCGCATACAAAAACATAAGAGTTTATTTGGCTTTTGGCTTTGGCATTGTGGCTTATTCAAAAATTATCAGCTTCCTTAGCATCATTTGCAAACCTGACTAATGTCAGTGCATTTACTGTATATTAGAGAATCATGGCTACGCAGTCCTTGTGATTCCCATTAAGTATGGTTAATTATCATAGTCCTGATCAAATATAGGTCATAGTACAGGAGTAAATTAAATATTCTTAATTGTGCACTTATATTTTAATTCTTTACAATCTTTACATTATGCTGAACTTAAAATTATTTGAGGGGTCCTGGCGCCCTCTCAGCTTGATTGTTTACTTGCAGACAGTATTAGTATTATCAGTACTAGTGGGGTGTTGGATTTGTTCTCAATTCTGCAAGTAAACAACTAAGCTCAGAGAGCACCAAGGACCCCTCATTTCAACCTGAGCTACAAAAATTCTCCTTTATCCTTATTCTATTGCTTTGGTATCCAAAAGCAAGAGTGTTAGAGAAAGTTAGGCTTGTTCGTCTCCTAAGAAACAATCCAGGAAAAAAAAAGACATCAACAATGGCTACTTAAACCAATAGAAAGGTTTTTTTAACAGTTATATCACTGCATGGGATTTATCATAAAATAGTAATTGAATAAAGGCTACATATACCTCTAAACACATCATGCAGATACCAGTTTGAAATACTTTTATATAAAAACACTGACAAATTGTTTCACTGTGATATACAGTTACCCAACATTCAAAATAGCTATGTTGTTGGGTACTTCATACCTGTGGCATATGCTTTGTTTTCAGAATCCAAACTCATTTCATAGCGCAGTGCTTTCAGGTTCTTTAATATTATTTTTTTCAGGGATACAGATGTACCTAATAGCTGACTTTCTGTTGTCTAGTTCCCTTGCTTGCAGGATTCCAAGTGAAATGTCATTGGCTGACCAATTAAACAATTATGACACAGTTCACCCATCATGTAATGATGCACGGTATTATGTATTTTTGCTGCCTTACTTGTAAAATAATAAAGGGAGGATAGAAATTTAATAAATAAATAAATATGGAACCTTTAGCCAGTTTCAAAGCTGCTTTTAAAGACAGCTTCTTAAAGAGTGGTACCAAAATAGATCCCATTAATATGAAATTTTACAGATTCCTGTAAAATCTTAAAACTTAACTTCTGCCACCTAAGCCCAGTAATTTTCCTTGAATCTCTCTCCTGTATACCAAGAAATATAAAATAAATTCATCCTCCTCCTAGCGTTATTCCCAACAGGTGCAGGATTCGCTTTTTGAATTGATGAATGCCATCTTGTATATCAAACGTAGCATCCGGGTCCAGCTGGGCAATTTTCATATCTCCATTTCTTGTGTCTTGCCACCTTTGCTTCAGCTTTCCACAGGGTGTTTTCCACTTGTGTTAAAATGGAAGGTGTGGGGGGCTGCTCATAAGACATGGCCATACCAGTGTTTCTCCTGCATTTTCTTGGGTATTGGCGCAATGCCCATTTGCTGTCATACTGTGTCATTGCTGACATAGTCAGGAAGAGAGACACCTAACGACCAATAAAGCATGCGCAGCTCCATGGGGTGTAAAGAGCACTCAATTAATTTGGTGATTGGCCAGCATTCAGTGCCATAAAAAGCTACTGGGCATACCATCCTTTTAAACTATAAAAGTGAATTACTTTTATTATAAAGAAAGGTGACAGATGAATTTGAAAAGGGGGTTTATTGTTGCTGTGAAAATAGAAATACATTACCCTGATTTTATTGTTGTGGTAACCAAAAAACTGTTTCCATGTAAGTAAACACTGGTGGTTAGACTTGTTTAAACAACATTGTCATTATTTTTACTCTTTTGGTGTGTTAAATCAAAAGTATCTTTTCCAGTTAGCAGCCAGAAGGAAATGGCCATCGTCCTTAACAAGAAGCAGTTCTTCCATTATGACAGCTTGAGTCCTTGGAGATTCTGTTTCACGTTAAGCAACTCTTTCTCTTGCCTTGTCTTCTCTTGCTTGAAGGCCGACTTGTTTGCTTTCTTTTCTATCCTGCGTTCCTAATGGGGAAATAATTTACAATATTAATGTACTGCTTCATGAAAGTGTTCTCAAAGCAATCAGCATTGCAGATACAATTTCAGCAATATCTGGCTCAGAGTCTTGGCAGAAGAGGCTTAGTGTACTGAAAGGAGGCCTAATTTTTCAGATGTTAATCATTCCCTTCATACTTTTTAAAGTAGGGTGCAGTAGACGACCAAAATTCAGGGCCCAGTTGTGGTTGTAAATGGAGGACTACCTGTAACTTAAATTTTTTTTTAAAATCCCCGTGTCTCTACCATGTAAGAAAAACAACTAATTTATTGATATTATCCTTTAATTTTACTTAGGCCTGCCATAGCACAACTTCTAATTAGGTTCATGTCATTTCTTTGTTCATTGGGATGGTTTTACAATTGCAAGTTCTACGTGTGTATGAAGCCACAATATCGCTAAAGCTAAATTCAGTGCCTAAATGGGAATCCTAAATAATCTATTTTGAGTTCCATCCTGTGGGAATAATAAGCAACATTTCAATTACTTAATATATATTTGAGTTATGACATAACAGTAATCCACTTTGCTTCAGTCAATTACAGGTTAATAAAGTTAATTAATTAAATAATTTATTTTAAAAATTAAAATAAAACTTACTTTTCGCTCTTCTTTGATAGCTTGTTTCCTAGCTTTCCGATCCTCCTTACTCTCATCCTTAGAGCGTGGCTGTGTGGATATTCTTGGCAAATCAGAGTCATTAATCCTTTGCATGCACTCAGTCTGTTTAGCTGTAGGTCCTCTCTGAGGCAGAACATCTAGTGGGATTCCTGTCTTCTTAGACACTTTAATTGATTTAAGCTATAAAAAATACATGGAACTAATGAATATTTTAAAACAGTGAGTTAACTGGGTCAATGAAACTTGCAGAAGCCAAAATACTAAGCCAGGTAATAAACTGAATAAAATGTTTAGGTGCCATTGGGAGGAAAAATTGGTACCTACCGTAGGTTAATTCATGTTTGATATATGAATTCCTTATACATACAGTATATATTCATTCACTCATTCATCCCTGTTCAGCACTTTGATAAATTACAAGATGGATCAAAGTTGGGTCCAAGCTTAATCCCTTCCTTCCTCCCTCCCTCCCTCCCTTCCCTCCCTCTAAATCTTAACTTATATGCATCTAGATTTTGGAGGTGAGGACTACTAGGAAAGGGCTAACTTTCAAAGAGGCAGACCACAAACTCTACATTATTTCTACAATATGTTATCTTGTTATCTCTCTCTCATACACACACACACACACACACACGGCTGTTCAACTCACACAAAATAACTTTGGATGGTGTATAACAATTGAATAAAACAGCAGGTGGATAAAAACAATAATTATAAAAGGATAAAAAGAAATAATTAAGAATATTATCAAAACATTTTAAAATATACAAACCTCATGGAGGCAGCAAGAATAGCAATCACAATGGAGGCAACTAAAATTGTCTCCAGTTCCCAAAAACCCGAAGGCCGGATGATATAACTAGGTCTTGAAGAACTTCCTAAACGAATAGCAGGGAACGGGTGAGCCTAACTTTCAGAAGGGGAGAATGTTTTATAAGGAGAATGTCCTGGCAGAAAAGGCCTGCCTCCTGGGACCCATCTAAGGCAAATCCCTGGCTGATAGAAACCATAACACGTCTTCCCTGTTATATCTAAAGGGAAGTCAATTTGTGACTTTTTTTTTGCCAGGTACTGGCATTTATTTCCAGTTTCCAGCAACATTTTGGAGAAAATGGATTCCCTTAACTATCATAAAAAAGTTTGTAACTTTGAATCCAGTTACATGATATTTCAGTGTACCATTACAATGATTACAAACCATAATTTTGAGCTCAATTATGGTGGTAAGTCAAGGACTACCTGTAATTAAATTAAAAATCTCCTTAGTCAATATTTTGAATATACTGCTAATAATTCTTTGGATCCCATTCATTGCAACAGTAAGTCTTTAAAGTGTAATGGAAACTTCCACTCACCTTTTTTGACACCTCAATAAGTTTTGGATGATTGTATAAATTTGAATAAGTACCTTAAAGAGAAGACATAATATCAAAGGTTAGCTTATTAACAAACTAATTTTCTCCTGAACTTTTGATTTGAAATGTTATTAATAAACAATTTTTAAACCTCAAAATATCTATGGAGGTCTTTGAGGCTAATGAATGTGTATGATAAGTAGGTATATTAAAAAAAGCAAAAGCTGCTTAAAGGAAATAAGTAAACTTGACCCTTAGCAAAAGTAGCATTATTCCTATAAAAATATTTATAATTCTGCATGAGGTGCCCTTAGTACTCTCTGTTTTATTACCCAAACTAGGTAACTCTGCATATTGCTGTTGCTAATAAATGCCAGATTAAGAAAGCCTTTTATGGGTGACCTGATGCGGATTGTTGAGATGTGACTAAGTCTGGAAATTTCTCTTGGAAATGTGCCTATGTGAGTCCTGGGTGAAACAATTGTTATATGGGAGTCTTTGATGGCTTTCAAAGGCACAGCTCCACAAGTTACTGGATGTGAGAGTCTGTTCATTAAATTGGGGTCTAAGGATCAGTTGAAATCCCTGCATCCTGCTGCATAGCAACATCCCTGCCTGAGCGCTTTGACTCCATCTCAGGGTTGATAGTGGAAATCCCTAGGCTTGGGGAATTTCAATCTGCATTCCTTGGGAATGGGCTTCAGGGTCCCTCAGGAGTTCATAGTCACTATGACAACTGTGGGCCTATCCCAGGTCATCTAGGACCAGTGGTCACACATTTGACCTCTTCTTTTTCTGTTCTTGTGGCAGCAGTGGCATAGTGATCTGGAATTGGAAGACCTCTCTGTGGCTCTCCTGTCATGGTAACCTTGAGATTCTCTGGTACTGCCCTCTATCTATCACAGGAAGGCTGGACCTATTCGATCAGTTCATCTATGGCACCTAATGGGCCCGGAAGGGTTCCAGAGGAGATGGGGGTTGTTCTTAATGGTCTGCAGCACACTCTGGTTCTGGCTGTCACTTGGAATAAGAGGCAAGGCTTTGGACCAGATCATGACCATACAACCTCTCCTGGTTCATGGATCCTGTCACTTTCCAAGATTCAAGGAACAGCTAAGGGAGATGAAACGGGCTAAGAGATATCTGGAGTGTTTCTGGAGTTCAGTGAGGAGTGAACTTGACCTAACATGGGTGAAGTTTTTAATGGTTTTTATACAGTATATTCTTTATTATGTGCATGGCATCCAGAGTAACTATATGAAATGGGCAGCTAATACAAATATATATGAATGAATGAATGAATGAATGAATGAATGAATGAACGAACAAACAAACAAACAAACAAACACTCACTTAAAATGGATTCACAATCCCATTTTTCTTTTGGTTTTTCAATGATTAAAGTTACCATTTCTTCAATCTCATCTTCTTCCTCATTCAAGGGCAACTCTGTTTCTTTCTCGGTTTCAATATCATCAAGTTTCACACAACTTTTAAAGAAAAAGAAACATACAGAAGGAAAAAAAGCTAAATTTAAAATTTTAAAATACTGTGATTTTTAAAAACCTGTCAGCTTTTCTTACTTAAATCAGTATTATTTAGACTAGCTATTTACCTGACAGTATGGTCATTAAGTAGATAATCAAGGGACTGACCCAATTTTACGACTTTTTTTAGTGGTGAGTTATTAAATAAACATTGCGATTATAAAGTATTTTTTGCCAGAAACCTGAAATAAATGCTGGGTTTTGACAAAAACATCATAAATTGCGGTCATATGACCATGGGACATTTATTTATTTATTTATTTATTAAATTTCTATACCGCCCTACTCCCGAAGGACTCAGGGCGGTGAACAGCCACAGGATAAAACACATAAGTACAAAAATTTAAAATAGAATAAAAACAAATTAAATAATTGGCTGAACAAATTTAAAATACCCCATAATTTAAAAACAAATTAAAATTTACATTTAAAAAGGGGAGAAGATTTAGGCCAGGCCAGCTTGATGAAATAAAAAAGTCTTAAGCGCGCGACGGAAGGTGTGCAGATCCGGGATCCTCTGTATCTCCAGGGGGAGCTCGTTCCAGATCGTAGGTGCCCCCACAGAGAAGGCTCGACATTGTTTGGCCGACGGCACCCAGAGGAGCCCCTGTCTATGGGAGCGTACTGGCCAGTGGGAGGCTATTGGTGGTAGCAGGCGGTCCCGTAGATAACCAGGTCCTAAGCCATGGAGCGCTTTAAAGGTGATAACCAGAACCTTGAAGCGCACTCGGAAGACCACCGGAAGCCAGTGCAGCTCGCGCAGGAGGTGTTACATGGGAACTCCACGTCGCTCCCATAACCACCCGCGCGGCTGCACTCTGCGCCAGTTGGAGCCTCCGAGTGCATCTCAAGGGGAGCCCCATGTAGAGAGCGTTACAATAGTCCAGACGAGAGGTGACGAGGGCATGAGTGACTGTGTGTAGAGAGTCCCGATCTAGAAAGGGACGCAACTGGCGGATCAGGCGAACCTGAT